GGGGGTCCGGACCCCCATGCTCGCGCAGAAAACGCATCTGAGGGGTGCTAATTTCAACAAATTTCTGGAGGAGAGCCCCCCAGACCCCCCCTTCTCGTGCTCCTGACACCCCCCTTTAGAAAATCCTGCGTACGCCACTGCTAATGACAATGTATGCCACCCGTGGCATGCGGAGCGATCGAAGAACTACACGGGTAGAGCTAGGCGACATACATGACAGACGGACGACAGAAGATAGATTTAAATTATACACCCTATACTTGGTATTACCTGAGTCAGTATCACGGAAACCTTTACTCTAGTTTTACAGTGTAGACTGCCAGATCGAGTGCAGAGTGCTTAATGTTTACAGCACGTGACACGTGGTTGCAAGGGACGACCCGATTATTGCGTGTTTATTTTACACACAAAAAACGTTTATATGCCTGTCAAGTAGAGTTCTATTAGTGTTTAAAACTTAGTTCAACAAATGTTAAGGTGCAAAAAGTTCAAACAAATGTAACATCAACGAGTGCCATCAGCAATAAAAAAATTAATTAATTATTTATGATAGAGGACGCCACTATAACAGAAAGATGTCTGCGCCCGGGAGTGGCTAATAGTTTGTTTGAAATTCGTAATCTTTAGTAAACATTTACGCGTACTAAGCGTAGTTTACGTAACTTAGTAAGTTGGAGTAATCGGAAAGGTATTGACAGTTTTCTATAAGTTTTACAATTATTGTAGTAGCAATTAGCAGGCTTATAGTTATTGTACAATATTATGATGGTGCCACTGTCCTGCCGGAACGTACCCTGGGTACGGTCCGGTATTATACCAGAACATACCCTGGTACTATCTAATAACCCCTTTACCGGCATATCTAGTAATGGATATCTTCAGATTAGTATGAAACTTGCTGTGCTGTGAATGTGATTGTGAATGAATAGCCAGACTGGAGTTCTCCAGCCTTAGTCGCCAGTGCATTGTAGAAAAGTATTAGAATAACTAAGGATTCCGGGCGCCTGGAAGAGAAGTACCTACTGAGATTAGTCTTTTATTGCATGCTCTATTTTACTAAATACTAGTAGTATCTAACAGTAAATAAGGAGAATGACTAGAGTAGATATAATGATCGCTGTGGCTATATGCCCGGCAGCCGGGCACGGTCTTTGATTTCTTAAATGCCCGGCAGTTCCTAACCCTAACCCTAACCCTTGTTTACTTGAGATAACGCTGAAAATTAAAAAAAACTGCCGGGCATTTAGGAAATCGAAGACCGTGCCCGGTAGCCGTCAGATATATGCCGGCTGCCGGGCATATGGCCACTCTGTATAATGATCTGGGTCAGCTGGAAAAATCGTGGATTACTGATTTGCAGGTGTTACTAATCTGTATTGATCAGTGACAGTTAATATTAATTTCAAGCGCATGTAATGATGAATTTGATTTAAGATCTAGTTTACACTAATAAACATTATTTTAGTGTGAAACTATCATTCCATCTCAGCTTTCAGATGAATGGCAATGGCAAACTAATAAGCCACTTCGTAGTTACGCACTGGAGCCCTATGACGTCATCGGGTCATAGGTCATTTGTACATAGCTGAAAAGTTGGATCGCGCGTTCGCTCGTACGTGCTTGCCGTATACTACATAATATCAGGATAATATGCATGAATGTTATACAGAAGCTATGTAAAATCGTGCGTGCGTTTGTTTTCTGTACTGAACCGATCGACTATCTGGCTGTACTTGTTTTTTGGATTTTTACACGTGTGTATGATATTCATTGTGGGGTATTTTAGGTAGATATGCAGTGTCGGTTCTTCTCGGTCAGTCAGTTAACTGCAGTTAGTCAGTTCAGTCAGTCTCGGTCATATCATTTATTTATGGATGTCTTTTTGCTCCCTGGATTTCTTAATTCTATAACAACAGAAATGTACAGTCAGACATACATGTAATTAACTTGCAATGCATATATATTGATTCATGTTTAATGCACATCTAACTACATGTATATGAACAAGGAGGAATGTTAGCCTCTAAATACATTGTACAAGCAATTAAAGCAATGAAAATGGGGAAATTGTGTACGTGTATACCTGTATGAAACCTGCAAATGTGATAATTTATAATGTAGAAAGTTTAAAAAATAGCAATGAAATAAATGCGTGAATAATAGACAGCAGGGAATAAACATGTATCATAATTTCTTATATTTCTTATTATTAATATCTATGAAAACCTTCAATTTAAGTACCATTTGATATTAATAATAAAAAATATATGCGTGACTCCTATGTAAATGGTATTTTAGCTGGCATAGTATGGACATATATTGTAATCAAAATTCTAATAACTCAAATAGTATGCATTCAAACAATGTTATGTTTATTAATGAATGCTATTTAATTATTGAATGTTTTTTGCTTTTTTAAGTATTTAACAGGGTTTCTTCTGAGGGAAAATTAGACAAATGAGGTAATGGCCAGTTTGGGGAAAAAACGCGCATGATGGATTCAAATACAGGATGTATTGATATACTTATCTAGGTATATAGATACAGGATATACTTATCAGTAAATACAGGAACATTTTCACAACGGCGATGTTAAATTTGACAACGGCGGTGCGCCACTGTGCCTCTTATGTATAAGAAACCCTGTATAATTGAGAATGAGATGTAACTGCATGTGTATGAATGATGGAATGAGAAAATGGTGATGGAGACGTCAGATGTCCATTATGACAATTACAGAAACTTTGGTGAGGATGAAAAATATTAAGGAAACCTTTCAATAAAGGATGGACTTAAAATAGTTTTATAATGTCTTAATTCTCATGTGTACAAATAGCTACTAGGTAAACTGGAAAGTTGTTCACACATGCATGTTTACGTTATTGGCATAATTAGTACTGAAATCATTTCATGAGTCCTTTATAAACATGTATCCCTATACCTAAAAGATAGGATATCAATTATAACCAAGCATTTTTCCATTTATCAACTAAGTAACAAAATTGAACAAATAACATCTCCTGATAACATGTATTTGTTCTACATGTATAAATGAAGTTTACACACATTCTATATTGGGCAAATCTTAGTTAAATGTGATTTTATTTCAAACTTGGACAAATACAGTACGTACGGTTCCACTTGCTATCACATCAATGGAGACACAGCGAGCGGTTTATGTACAATTGACCTTTGGCAAAAGTTTACGTGGGAATCTCGCGCATGCTCAATGCGTAACTACGAAGTGGCTTACAAGAAGTGCGTGCAATGTATGCAATGTGCTAATAATCTTACAGTCTTCACATTTTATTTTAGGATGAGCTTTGATGCTCATGTTGAAAGGGAGTTTCCGGGATTGTATCCTGATGAAGATGACATGGGTATAGTAGACCAACAGACAATACAATTAAATAATGTAGTTTAAGAACAACCAAACTTCTCCACATCGTAGTTTAATAAGCCCCAGTTACTCTATATATGACATATAGTGTAATAGACCCTCACAGTTCTACCATATAGTCTAATAAATATGCTTTCACTACTCTGCCACATAGGTTAATATGCCCTTATAATTTATTGTTATTCTTCACGTAGTTTGGTGTTGATTCACCTATTTGTTTTATTTAAATTGCTTGCAGTGGGTGAAGAACCGGAAAGACCCCCAAGAAAGAAAGATGGCAAAAAGAAGGATAAGAAGAAAGACAAGGAAAAAGGATACAAGGCATTTGAGGGAGAGAGTTCTGGAGAGGAACTGGTGCCAGAGGGCTCAAAGTAGGAAATGCTCACCACAATAAATTGTGCTAGTCACTAAAAGATGATAATAATCTTATCTTCTGGCATTATTATAATATAACTATAAGTCAAAGAATAATGGTCATGATAATGATTTCAAAGTATATAAGTTTATGTAAATATGACATGACTGTCAGTTAAAATGTGTTGTGATTGATTGCAGAAGCCCTACAAAAATTAAGAAGTCCAAGCACTCATTTAGGTTTGCTAAGAAATCAGAAAAACCCAAAGTGAAGGAGCGAGAAAAAGACAAAGACAAGAATAAAGACCGGGAAAAGGACAAGGACAAGTGTAAAGATAAGGATAGAGATAAAGATAAAGATAAAACAAAGGGTGATAAAGATCGTGACAAAGACAAAGAGAAAGCTAAACAGCGACACAAACTGAAGCTAAAAATGAAAAGGAAGCTCCAGCAGAAAGAAGATTCAATAGATATTCCAGGCTAGTACCATGCATTTTCATGTTTTGTTAAAATAATAAACCTGTACTGAACATCACGTTGGCACGCCTGTCATTTAGCAGTCAGTGATACTAAACAAAATTTATGTTTATTTTCAGAGAGGCCTGTGTTTGGTGTACCACTTTCTCTGGCTGTAGAGAGAAGCATGTGCCATGATGGTATAGAACTACCCATCATTGTACGAGAGTGTATTGACTTTGTTGAAGAGAATGGTGAGTAAAAGTTTGGTGTTATTATAATTCATTTTTAAAACAACCTAGTATTACCTACATAAACTAGCATTAATTACTAATATAAATATATTTAAATGTGATGATTAGGATCCGAACAGTGTGTGTAGATGTAACTACATGCTTGGGCTGTAACTCATCTGCAGAAGTCAAATTTTTATTATTTATACGTTAAGGAAGTGTTGCCTTAGGTTTATTCAGAATTTTATGGGCACTGTCATGGTGAAAAAAGGCCAAGGGCCAAAATTCATTAAATGTGCATTGAATGTATTGAAAGGGCACAGGGGCAAACCAGATAGGGCAGCCACAGCAGTGTATTGAGACAAATTTTGAGGGATTGCGGAAAGTGAGGAGGGTTCCTCTATCCTTACGATTCGTACAGCTGAGAAATTTAACACATGGTTAAATACAATAACAGTCTAGGATACCTCGTCTAGTCATCGATTACTTACCTGCAGATGTTTGAATCTGTCTATTAGCATGAGACTAGTGTTCGTGCATACAACAACATGCATAGGGTCCACTCTTTCTAGAAGGCTTCCATTGTATCATATTTGCTTGCAGGATTGAAGTGTGAGGGGATCTACCGACAACCCGGCACCAAGTCGAAAGTGGAGACATTGAAAAAATGCTACAACAAGGGTCTATGCCCGAAGCTGACTGACTATGACTCCAACACCGTCGCCAGCCTGCTGAAGCAGTATCTACGAGAGATCCCGGAGCCTATCATCGCATCAGACCTGACGAACCGTCTTGAGGAAGCCTGCGGTGAGTGCGCGTCACACCAGTGCCAAAACAGCTTGAATCATCACCTGTACTGTCCTTCTGTTGCTGCAGATTAGTGGCTCTTAATGCCAAGTACGAGTGCAGAGCGAAAACTCGTTTGCCATGCGATTTTGAGCAGTTGGTGTTTAAAGCTCACCAAGAACTGCATGAAGTCCCTTCTGTGATCTTAGCTCTGTTGTACCTAAAGACTGTCATGTAGGCCCAACAGCTTTAACTTGGGTCACAGCCAAAATATAGTTGGAAACCAATGACCTAAGGCGTAAAAAAGACGTTTGTTTCGGCTAACCCGACCGAGTCCATTTTAAACCGCCGATTCGAAACCTTTTACTGTGATCAGCAAAAAATAAAAAAATTTAAATTTAAAATACGTTCTTGTTTCTGTACCTTCTGGGTTGAATCTCTTGAGACTTTTAAGTCATTATATGGGCTGTTATAAGTATAAAACAAGTATTGTTAGAATAAAATAAAAAAATTTGATAAAAATAGTTTTGCTTGCCTATCGTGTCCAAGTTTTTCAGCTTGTTAGCGGAAACTAACGTCTTTTTTTTAGACCTAACCATAATCAAACTCGTTTTTTTTGCAGTCAGCTGACAGGAACTGTCAAAAATGCTATCATGGAAACGATTTGTATGTAAATATCAACAAAACGGACAATTGTTATAGATTTCACTTTGCACATTGCAGTAACTTTGTTGTTGTAATTGTTGTTGTTTGTTTACAGCGAGGAAAAATGAGGAGCAGAAGCTAGGAGCAGTGATGCAAATTCTTCAGGAACTGCCACTACACAACAGACTGCTACTGTCTTGGATTATAAAGCACATGGTGCATGTTATTGAGAAGGTAAACAAACCATTGATAGTGCTGAAATAGAGGAATCAACCATTTTATAAAATACTAGATTAAACAAAGCTTTTCTTAGATTATATCTATAATGAGATGATGGTGAATAACAATAATGATACTCATTCTGCTCTGCTAGATGAGTAAGTACGGAGGGTGGTAATGATCTGTTTTTATTCACCATAACCCAAAGATGATTGACTGATATGATAAAGTGTGATGAGTACATACAGTAATACCTACATGAGTCAATCAAGTGAAACCCCAAAGGTGTTTTTTAGACACCTGTTTATTCTACAGAGGTTGTTCCACTATAATTACCACTCAAAGGAAATGCCAAAAACTGTCATTAACAGATACCTGTCTTCTAACACAGAGTTGACTGTACTAGGTTTGCAAAACCAAAATCAAAATTATTTTTTGGGCTGTTAACAGGAGGCGGCCAACAAGATGAGTCTGCAGAACGTGTCAATCGTACTTAGTCCGACGCTGCAAGTCAGTCATCGAGTGCTCAACATGTTCTTCATTCACCACGCTACTCTCTTCAAAGGGACTCAAATAAAAAAGTAAGCAGACCAAGTGCTTGGTCACTCAGTAGGTCTGATGTGAAGTGCGTAAGGTTTCGAGCAAGATTGTCAAATGGGCCCAGATAGAGATAATATTATTCATCTTTTAATTCAGATCCATATTTATCCAAATTACAGATGTATCAGGAAAATAAAGTTACTCTGGAAATTTTAAACAGCAGCATTTTTCATCCAACTGCTTGAAAAAATTTCCTATATAATACAAGCAACTGCACGGCTTTTGCGAGTGTCTGCCTTTGTTGACACAGCGGTTTTTGACGGCAACTTTGTCTGCTAATCAGGTACATTCCTGCGCTAAAGCCAGGAACGTCAACCAGACTGTCACTGGAGCTGCCTGATAACCCGGCCTGCATTGAGGAGGAGATACAGAGACAAGAGGGCATCCTCAACCAGCTGCATGCAGAGATCAATGCTGGCAACACGAGCAAGCAGAAGGAGGAGCTACTCTGGGAGATTCAGCGCATTGTCACCCAACTAAAGCGGAAGGTACGTGTCGTTATCGGCTGTGTGGTGCCATCGTGCAGCGGAAATGTGGTGCCATTATCTGGATGGTGGTGCCATCTATTGTTGCACAGTGACAGAGGAATTTTCATCACCGACATCCACAGATAAGTGGCACCTGTTGTCGTGAAATTGCAGAGGATTCTTAGTGGGTGTGAATATTCTCGTAGCCTCAGTATGTTTGTAGGGGGTGGGGTAGCTGCTTAAGGATTCTGAAGCAGAAAAAGTAGGCCAAATAAACTTAAATAATCATAACTTAAGTTAAAAAATAATGAAACAAAATATTCTTACAGCCTTATTCTATGCTAAGCGTGATTTATTTCTTGAAGCCGTAAAATAGAATTCCTTCAATATTCTCCACTTTAATCGTTAAATTTCCCCCCATAAAGGTTTGTTCATGCTACTGTTCTGTAAGTAACGTGATACATTTAGTTATTTACAAGTTATTTGGTTGAACTAAGCACGGTTCTCCCAAACTGGCAGTTAAGGGTTGCCAAGCGGGTGGCTGACATCAAGAGTCAAGCGAGGAAGGAGGATGGAACTGCTCTGGGTGCAGAGAGCACAGGGAAGGGTGGAGGCGAGAGCTCAACATCCACTCCTAGCAAGTCACCGCGTACAAGACAAAGTAAAGGTGATTCGGGTAAAGGTAAGGCAAATAACTCCGCTATACCCTTTTCACAAAACTTGGTTCTATCTCTACGAATAAGCGGACTCACAGTACAAATGCCAATGACCAGTAATGGTGGTAGCAGATGTAGCGTCTGCTACTTAAAGATAAATGTCGGTGTTATTAAAATTTAATTTAATCATGAGAGACTTTTCATGCAGCTGAGCTGGCCATTACAATGCACTGTTGCGCATGCTTGCATTGCCTTAGGTTGTACGCGATCACATCATTCCTATATTTTCACAACATAATGCTGTACATGTACTATTTCTATGAGGTAGATTATCACAGCAAAAATGTCACACTAAGGTGTCAAAGGGGACATGTAAGCGTTGTTTGAACTTATGACTATGCTTTTTGCATGCAAGCAGTCTGGCCATCTAGTTGTAAATTATTCAATTCCTAATCAACTTCTCTTCAAATATCTCCAGGTCGGGCACCTGATCCAACTAAAGCCATACAGGCGATCCGACTGAGTGTTGATGCTGCTGCTTTGGCAAAGAAGGAGCTAAAAGAAGCAGCGGCTGAGTTCGCAGAGAAGGAAGTCAAGAGCGTATCGGCTGTGGCTGCCGAGAAGGGCGAAACTGCAACAGCCAAAGAGAACAGCGTTATGAAGACGGCGTCGGATGACATGCAGGCAGATGCAGATGTCGTGAAACCTGATGAAATAACGATAGAACTGTCTGATAATGAAGAGCCAGAGGACAAATCCAACGTGGCCACTGACCTTGTAGATAGTGTGAGTAGGACGAAAGGAAAGATACCAGTGGAGAGCTCCCATGAGTTGTCAGAAACGGAGGGCCAAGATGGGAAACAACCCGATACTCAAGAGCTACCTAGTGTGGTGCCAACGGAAGAAACACAGACACCAGTAACTCAAGGGAATGTAAAACAAGAAGACAAGCCACTTACAGCTGTGTCTACAAAATCAGAAGGTATTAACTGGAGTCATAACATGGAAAGAACTACATAGGCATACTTACAACAAGTAACTGGTAAACTGATTTAACTAAATCAAAGCAAAGCAAATTTAAATGGAAGTAATCTGTAAGAAAATTTGATTTTGCATTCCACCATTTTTCTTTAATTAGCTCTGCTGACAAATTAATAGTGGGAAGAGAAAACAGAGGTAGTCATGATCCTTGACCTCAAGATTGCTGCCTTGACTTACTGTGAATAAGTGGCTGTGCGATTTATACATCTCATAGTCCACCACCCATTATTATATGAAACCACTGAGATCAGAATTTTGCTTTGCTCATAGAATTCAGCACCAAGTGCAAGGTGAGAGATTCGCGAACAAGTCTAGTCCAGAAGCTACACTGTTGGGCCCATTCTCAGATACAAAATTAGTCTTAGCACTAGTCTTAACGTTAACCGGGTGGCCCTGGGTGCTATCCAAGTAAAGCCTATGTAAAAACCATTTATTTTGAATGCAGTCGATTACATGCTAGAGTCGGATGTCGAGACGTTCTGACCTGACCAAAGGGTTTTTTTAGTGTAACCTTGCCTTTTTTGTAGACACATCTGGTCTGACGTACGAGATGCTAGACTTGCTTGCTGAGCAGCGCTATCTCAAACTGGAGGAGGACGACCTGCTATCCATTGCCAAGACGCTGCGGCAGCGGATACAGGTACGTTGACCTTGCATCTCATATCCGCATGGCTCCCGATCAATCAAATGATCATGTATGCAGTAGGTCAACTCTGAATTTTGAGACGGTGAAGATGTCAGAAGCCTTGTTAGAACGTGCTAGGCTACAAGATACCTTGTTAGAACGTGCTAGGCTACAAGATACCTTGTTACTGTTGTCAAACTCAGGCCGAGAGAGATGAGATCGCGAGGCTGAGAGAAGAGATCAATGCGATCGAGAGCTCACGACTAGAGGACAGCAGCAGCGAGGCGAGCTCGCTCTCCGACTTCGAGTCGACGAGCTCGAGTGAGAGTGAGGATGAGGAGGAGCTGCTGATGGTGCTAAAGAAACTCATGGAGGATAACGATCAGCTGGAGGTGAGCGAAGGTCGAGCCATACAAGCGTGGGTTTCATTTGGGCATAATCTTTTACTCGCATGACATCGGGGGTAGATAATGAAAAATTATTCATTTGTTTTATTTACATTTTATTTTAGTATAATTACAAATTACTTATTTGTTTTATTTACATTTTATTTTATTATAATTACAAATTACTTATTTTATTTATTTACAAACGATTTGTCATTATCTACCCCTGATGACATGACTCCACTGGTCATATGCATTTGTTTGGTCGAATCACTGATCCAAATCACGAATTGGTGGTCCTGCTGGCAAGGTGGATTTGAGAGTCCAAACGGAGGTGTGATTGAAATCCAGTTGGCACTCACTGCTAATGATAAGCCATTCTTTGATAGGTCACACAGACACATCACCCATCTTTGCATAAAGTACTACCTGTTGTTAATTTCTGCTATTTTATGTACAGAGCAAGAACATAGATCTGACAAGGCAAGTTGTGAAGGAGAGGCAAGCCTGCGTTGGCATCCGAGTACAGATCCGTCTGATTCAACAGCAGCAGGAATACAAGGGCGATAAGGACTTTTCCCCACACAAGGAAACCATTCTGTAACTTGTTAAATAATGCATAACCAAGTAATACTGCGTAATACCACCCCCCCCCCCATCTTTTTGCAATATAAGGAATTAACTCTTTCATCTTTATGAAACATGTATTCAGACAATGCTTATTATGCAAACAGGTTTCTGTGTTAATGTCATGCGTAAAGGACTAATTGACTTCAGACTAGGTTACAATTGGTTGACTATTGACAGATATTCCATATATATGATATTGCTTTTGAGCATTACAGGAGAAAATTGCCAATCTGGGACGGTATTCATTCTGAAAGTTGGACAGTTCTATCCTAAAACCAGGATAAACTTGTATAGTTCAGAGAGAGAGAAGAGTATTGTTTTGTGTATGCGATATCATTTTATCCACTCAGCAGGCAATATAACATTGCAAATTAAAAAGATAAACTTAAATGGCATGTGACAGCTTACACAAGGTGTTTATATGTATATATTTATGTACCTGAGTAAAGGTTACTCAGTAGTAGCTTTGGCTAAAATGCAGGTAGGCTCAGTGCCAATCACTGTTACAGTGTTAGGGACTCATGTAAATTTGATTATATTAACGATGAACTAAGCGCGAGAACATCAGTGGCAGTGCAAGAAATGCTATTTTTGGTGAATGGCACATGCATACAACTGATACTTATTGTAAATTATGATGAAAAGAGCGGGCCGAGATTATTGTTTGCCATTAATGAGTTTTATTGAAGAAAATGAGAAGATTCTGGGATTCAATAATGAACAAATATAATTGCTTTGAATCGATAATCATTTGTCTTGCCACTCGTATTCTTTTAGTAGATTTTTGTTGTTAACGTTCACATTTATATAAAAATAAATATATAATTGCCTATACAAATCAAATAGAATATTCTGTCATCTAAGTTGCACTTCAGCGAGCATTGCCTCTAGCAAGGCTTTACTCCTGGGCTCTATGTAAGCCTGATGAACCCATGCTGCCACGTAAAGCATCAACAGCTCTCTGTTCTCTAGGTGTGCCACCTGGTGTAGAATTGCCTGCTTCACAGGAAGCTCGTGTTGATACATCAGCAGTAGCGTGGATGACGTTTCACCTGACAAAAATATTTCGGGTGAAAAATGGAGTGTGCACATTAATTACTTCTTAATTTTATTCAACATACCTTGAATGTTATGCAAATTTGGCAGAAAACCCTCTCCTCTTTATGCATCCTAATCGAGTAGTAACATGTCACCTAAAGCTTACCAAACATAGCTGTTGGCCAGGTTTGAAACAGAACATCTGTGACACCATCTGTCGAATGTGACTGATACAGATGGAGAGTTGCACATGCTTGCAGGTTTGAAGTTATTGTCTCCATCTTTGCAAGAATTTTTGCCTACAAGAGAACACAAGTGGTCATACAGAATAAAGGTTCATACATGCATTGAGGGCAGTTTAGTGGCACCGTAAGGGTTTGTGCAATCAATGTGATAACAAATGGATAGTATTATACTGCACTGGTATTTCATTCAGAATTGATATAGTATGACACTTTCAGTCATGACCACAACCCCATATATTGAATTCTTCTGATAATATCATAGTATATTATATTATTATACCGCTAAATGATATTATTACACATTTGTTATGCAGATCCAATATTGTTGACCCGCAGCATACCATAGATTGGTACAATGTTTCTAGCTCCTCACAGTCAGTCTGCATCTCTGCCAAGACTGAATCTTTATCATCCTCTGAAAGCTTCTTGCTTGTTTGCTCTTCCTGTTTATCAAAGCTGCAAATTAAATAAACATCACAGTTGCACAATAATTTAAATTACCAGTTTTACTAACACGAATGCTTGTTTTATCTACAATTATAAGCAACAGTGATGCACTTTATATCCCACTTTACAACCTAGGCTTTTACACAAATAATTATTAATGTAAACATAACCAATAATAATGTAAATTAAACACACACATATATAGCCCTTATATTAACATAATTAACTTCATAAATAATTATAGTAAATTTGATAAATAATGATATAATAAATGATATTAGTTGAAATCAGTTTTCTTCTTTTACAGAAAATTACACGTTTGGTACGTCATAAAGCATCTATCCATTTCTGTGCAACAACATCACACTATATTTAGGATCACTTCTATATCTATAAGTCAAGTTCTATATCTAGGATTATTGGGGCTAATCTCACCAGGAAAAACATGACAGCTACATAAAGGGAAGCATGTATACCAGACCCTACATCTGATGCGGCTGATTACGTACGCTAGTTTCAAGCGACAGTTGGCGATATTTTTCACTAAAGTTGCTCCAGAGATATTGGCTTCCTCCCACTTCTGTACATAGTTGTACCAGTCAGCACAGCAATCCTTTACCCTCCTCGGCAGTCCAGTAAGGTTCGCTGTCTTTGAAGGTGTCTTGCATTCTATATGAATAAGCAATTAATAGTGCTGTAATGAGCCACTGAAATCGAATCGGATCGCGATTCTCTTCCCTCGATCCAATCCTCGATATTTTTCCCCGTATTTAAGATTCCACTTCGATACCACTTTTTTCCTCCAATAGATGGCGGCACTACGCTATATACTGTGGAGTGTTACTCGCCAATGTTACTCAGCGACAGCAGTGTATATATACTCTCTAGACTCTCTAGTCTATTCACCATTTAGTATTTATTGGCAATTTCTAATAATTTATTATTGCAAAATAATGAAAATATAAAAAATAAGATAACATTTCAATATTTTGGGAATCGAATCGAAGGAATCGAATCGAGAGGCTAATATCGAGAACCGGATCGAATCGAGAGGCTTATGTATCGTTACAGCCCTAGCAATTAATAATATTGCAAGGTCTTGCACCAAGTTTGTTTCCTATTGTTTATTTAGAGCCAAAAAATAGACTTCAAAACGCTGAGACCAGCCCGAAGGCTCCATGAGGACTAGAAGAATAGATTAGGTAAGTTAGTCAGCCTGGAAGAAAGGGGTTAGGATATTCAATTTATGTTGGCATCACTGATATATTAAATAGAGTTATTTGGAGAGGCAAGTCTGTTGTGGGAAGAAAGGCTTCCTCGGTCAGCCTAATAACAGGTTGCCTTTAGACAAGGGATACAGCACCTATCTAGGGTGCAAATCCACTTTAGGCACCTTAGGTATCACGAAGTGATGCACAGATTTCTGTGTATCATCAACTGATGCACAAACTTTCCGTATATCAAGGAATGATGCAAAAAACCTAACCCTAACCTTTACACACTGATATACGGAAAGTCTGTGCATCAGTTGATGATACACAGAAATCTGTGCATCACTTTGTGATACCTAAGGTGCCTAAATTAGATTTGCGACCCTATCTATATTCTCCCCTAGGCTAAGGGACCAAGTAATTGAAGTATACTACATTACATACTGGTAGTAGTAATAGTATTGTAGCACTAAAAACACTCGCACTAGCAGCTTCTGCCTCTGGCATGAATTTTAGCAATAGCAACAGCAGTGAGCACTGAGTTTGCCTATCCTGTGTTTGGGTTACATTATTGTATTTATAGTATTACTATTAGTAGTAGTACTACTAGTAGTAGTAGTAGTAACTACTACTACAACTAGTGTAGTAGTAGTAAGAATACGCAGTGGCTGGAGGTACGGTAGCCGTCGGTCGTTCAAGCCCCTTTTTTGCGTTAGGGTTAGGGTTAGGGTTAGGATTAGGGTTAGGGTTAGGTTTAGGGTTATGATTAGGGTTAGGTTTAGGGTTAGGGTTAGGGTTCTAGCTAGTGATGTCACGATCATCGATTATACTCGATCATCGGTTGAACAGTGGCTCGAACCAAGCGCTTGGTTATCAAAATCCATAATCGATTTCATTGGGAAAAAATAAATAAATAAATTTTTTTAAACTTGAACAAGAAAACTTGGAAAAGTGATGAGAATCATCGCTACTATACAAGTTATCCTTTATTAACATACATGTATTATACACACAGTAGTAAACAGTGCAAAACAAACAGTAAACAGGGCTAAACAAGCACATACATGCACACGACGTTACGCACACGCAGGCATTTAACACCCCGAGTAACCGATTGTAACCGATCATCGGTTACTTGGGTCCAACCGATGATCGATTACGAAATTACAACCGATTGACAACACTAGTTCTAGCTCATCTAAACTCTCAAATCGTGAATTTATTTCCCAAGGCGTTATTTCGAAATCTAGCGCCACTGCCGCCATCTTTGTCTCGTTAAGTATGAAAGCGAATGGACTCCCGTACCCGTAGCCTCGAGACATTAAGATACGGCTACCGTACCCGTAGCCACTGCCGTAAGAATAGTAGTTAGTAAGGAAGTAGTAGTTATGTGTTAAGTTAATTATTTATAGCTACTTAGTTAAGAGATTGCAAGTAAGACCTGCAACGTACACAGGTGTTAGTGTTAGAGAATATATTATTTATTGAACTTTATCAAGTATTTACTCATACCATTGTCAGTTACAGCTATAAACTGATTGTTTTCTTTCAAAACATTCCCATGTAAACTTGAAGTGGGCGCTGACATGTTGAAACCTCTCAAACGACACTGGAGTGAAAATAAAAATGAAAAAATCGATGAACTCAAATAGTATGAATATGTTTCTAATAAAAAAAATTTAGTAAACACACACTTCAGTGCGAAATACCTCTATATTTGAAGCTATTCAAATAATTCACAGAAAGGCTTTGTGTAAATAAAGAATTTATGCTGGTAAGAGGTACAACGTGCCGAACGACAACAAATACTTTGTGTTGCGTTATTCTCTGTGAGTCGAGATTGTCCCGGTGATCTCTATATCTTGGACAATTTAATTAAAAATGACGGAATCGTTACAAGACACAGCCAAGAAATTAATACAAGCCGTGGAAACGGTTATGAACCCAGAAGTTCCCCAACATGAGAGACTTCAAGCTCACCAGGTAAACATGATAAAACCTTGGCCGCGCTTACCGGCTGCCACCGGCACCGGTGTATTATTACATTGTTTATTGGGTATATTACTGTTAGTATCCCAGCATCTATTGTGAGTACATCATTGAAGGTTGAAGACCTGTCTATATTAATTGTTACTAACAAATGTTAGTTCCTCAGCCTGGTGCTATTCTGTCTATTGAGTATTGTGTCCATTCACATGGTCACGGTGGTGCCATTCACACAGTTGTGTGTTAGATACAATATAATAATGTAACCCAAACACAGGATAGGGTTACAACGCGAGTGTATCCATTTGTGTGGAGGAACCCCTGAGTGAATCACTCAGGGCGGTTGGCTGGTGCGTTTTCAGAGACTAGAACTTCCAAACTGGGTTTATTCTTAACACGAACCTTTCTCCGCTATCCTGGAACTTACTATGTATCACAATACTCTGTATTAAACTAATATAACCTGTTACAAAAATTCGAAGTGACGAGCGGCGGATATTTCGAGCGCCATTTCTGTTGACCTGTGACGTACGCATTCCCAATGCGCATAGCGTTCGGCTAACTTCGTCGTGACATCACGACTGACAGGAGGCATCCCATGATACATTCGATCTTGGAGTCGAAGTTAGCCGAACGCTATGCGCATTGGGAATGCGTACGTCACAGGTCAACAGAAATGGCGCTCGAAATATCCGCCGCTCGTCACTTCGAATTTTTGTAACAGGTTATATTAGTTTAATACAGAGTATTGTGATACATAGTAAGTTCCAGGATAGCGGAGAAAGGTTCGTGTTAAGAATAAACCCAGTTTGGAAGTTCTAGTCTCTGAAAACGCACCAGCAAACCGCCCTGAGTGATTCACTCAGGGGTTCCTCCACACAAATGAATACACTCGCGTTGTAACCCTATCCTGTGTTTGGGTTACATTATTGTATCTAACACAACTGTGTGAATGGCACCACCGTGACCATGTGAATGGACACAATACTCAATAGACAGAATAGCACCAGGCTGAGGAACGTGTGTGTGCGCGCGTGCGTGCGTGTGTGGGCCGAATCCAAGTTTAGCACCACAGATTAGTTTAGTACATTTGCACAAAATGAGGGCCTGGGTCTCAAACTAGGATTGAACAGCGGGCGCGCGTTTGTGTTTGTGTGTGCGTGCGTGTATGTGTGTGTGTGCGTGTGTGTGTGTGTGAGGTCGAGGGGGAAGTCAGGATCAGTAGAAGGAATTCACTTAAATCAGCTACACTTGAAGTAGAAGGAGGAGCAAGAGTAAAGGTATAATACACAAGCTATAGGGTTTACAACTACAAGGACAGGTTTAGAGGGAGGTTTAGGTTGTCAGCTAGGAACCCCCCACCCATTCATTTAACTTTAGGTTTAGAGTTAGGGTAACTTTGGTCTCCTACCTATTGCTCCTTTAGGTCTGATTTATGTGACAATAGTTTCTCTCATATAAAATCAAAATAGAAAATATGTAGTCAGAATCAAAATCCATTGAATTGCAACCATGATATTCTGTGACATGTGTGTACATTGTAATGTATTAGTAAACAAATTCTGTGGGAGTACCCCCAACCATCTTCCACTTCACTTTCAAAGGATCCCTCTTACAGAATACCTGGATCTAGTGCTGTATTAATATTATACAAACTCACCGTTAGCATCATCATTGATCGTCACATGATCTGTGTGAATACCCTGAATTTCACTGCTTACTTTGAATAATATTTATTAAATTTCAGATTGTAGAGAACTTTAGGGAATCATCCACAGTCTGCGCACAATGTGGGATTTTCCTTGCCGAAAAAACACATTCACACATCATCCGACATTTTGGCCTGCAACTCATAGAGCATTGCATCAAGTATAATAATCTTGTTGCCTTGATTTATACTTTTTAGCTGCACACTGTTGATCCTTGTATTTAATTTTAAGTAGCGGATTAATCTGTAAATAACGCTGCCTCCATGCTTAGAAATAGTGTCATAAAAGGTGTTGATGTTGAAATAGTTATACAAGCGCTAAGATATAATAGCCAGATATAATTCTTAGATATATATACGAGGGCTGTAACGATCCACCGAAATCGAATCGGATCGAGATTCTCTTCTCTTGATCCGATCCTCGATATTTTTCCCCGTATTTTCGATTCCACTTCGATACCACTTTTTTCCTCCAATAGATGGCGGCACTACGCTATATACTGTGGAGTGTTATCAGAGCATATATAAATCACTGATTTATATGCTCTGGTGTTACTCACCAATGCTACTCAGCGATTGTGCAGTGTATATATACTCTCTAGACTCTCTAGTCTATTCACCATTTAGTATTCATTGGCATATTCTAATAATTTATTATTGCAAAATAATGGAAATATAAAAAATAAGATAAAATTTCAATATTTTGGGAATCGAATCGAGAGGCTAATATCGAGAACCGGATCGAATCGAGAGGCTTGTGTATCGTTACAGCCCTAATATATACCTCTATATATAACCCACCAGCTTTAATTAAATTGTAATGTAGGATACGCCACCCTTGAATTTTTTATTACACACTTCTGAATGGTGTCATTTTTCAGATTTCGTTGGAATAGCATTAGCCAGGAAGAGAAAGTATTTATAAAAGAAAACACGATGAGGCTTCTTTCTACGGTAGATATAAAATAATATTATACTAACAGAAAGTTTTGGTGTAGGTGTAGGTTGTTAAAATATTCGAATTAGCTGTATGCAATATTCATACAGTCATCATACTTCACAGATGCTGTCAGTAATGATAGCCAGTTCCTATACATACTGATTTATAATGAATGTCTCAGCTGCATACTGGGCTCCATAAGTTATCTTGAGTGGTCCTTAGTAATTACCACTCAATACCATGCACTCGGGGAATTTGCGTGGGCATTGTTATGCTGTTAACACTACATATGTATTGTTTCATGCAGGGAACGTCGGACTTAATAACAGAGTATAGTCACATCAAGGATGGTCTGTCTAAGCTTGTGGTTGAGATGATCAAGCGGGAGTGGCCGCAGCAATGGCCATCGTTGTTGAGTGAACTGAATGAAATCTGCCAACAGGGTGTAAGATTTAGCTCTTGTTTTATGGAATGAATGTTTACATAATGATTAGTATGAAATCAGTCATATATCAGAGTTAGATATTAACCATTTTAGTTCATTAGTCCACAGGACTAGTAAAAGAACAAATGTACTAGTTCTTCCAAGATTCTACTAGTCCTGCCGAAGGACTCTTACTAGGCGCATAGCGACGACCAGTGTGATTTGCCAGGAGGTAGGTGGGGTAGGAGGGTGGAGCCCCCCTTCTGCTAGGGAGTACAGGGGGTCTCCCCCAGGGTACAAGGGGTGTCCCCCAGAAAGGTTTTGTAAAAGACATTCAATTGTATAAAATATACGTAACTTTGATATGGATCATAAGATTAAAATTAAAATTAAATTAAATTTTAATTCGAAAATTAAATTTTGGCCTTCTTTGATGAGGAATCTGTGGATCCGTCACTTATCACACAAGAAATTTGGCCTCATTTAAAGCTCCAAACTGTTTCCGGCGCCTTGTATCGGCTATCACCGTAATAAACCTGTGGCAGGCCTTGTCGGTGAGGTAAGTGCTGCCGACATCTAACCCCTTGGCTTTGTCAAGCTGGCACAGCTTGACGTAATCGGTGTTACCGTGTAGGGCCTGCCGTTTTTTCCAATAGCATGTGCATTTCTAATTAGGATATTCAGTTTTGCTATTGTGGCCTTGTTCATTAAAGTTAGTGTTTTTGCCCCCACTGTTTCGTGAACAGGCATGGTCCTTGCATTTCGTTTTGCTATGATCTTTCTGTGCCCCTCGGAAGCATCATGCGCTTTAACAGTTTCCAAACGATAGTTTGTAGTGCCGGTGAAAAAACTACCAGACATACAGCCTGCACCACAGGTCATACCCTTGCCCTTGGCCGGTTCATACTCTAGCCACGGGTATGACGATTTCCACGCTGGCTGGAACGTACGCATCCTTTTGGTCTTATCATAGACACGCTGGCCATCTAATTTCTCCTCCTGCGACTTACGTTTTGGAGGTGGAGGACGAGCTCCGTCCAAATACTTTTACATAATAACCTCTTGATGTTAGTATTGGATAAGGATGTACCTACTACTACAGGGGTTCTTATACATAAGAGGCACAGTGGCACACCGCCGTTGTGAAAATGTTCCTGTATTTACTGATAAGTATATCCTGTATCTATATACCTATAAGTATATCAATACATCCTGTGTTTGATTCCATCATGCGCATTTTCCCCCCAAACTGGCCATTACCTCCTTTGTCTAATTTTCCCTCAGAAGAAACCCTGTACTATGCTTCACTACTTGTATCACTACTATAGATAACTATTTGTATCGACAGCTTCAAGTAAAACACGCATGGTATGTGGTTGCGATGTAAATACCTCGCTATGAGAGCGTATAAACTTATTAGTTGTGTCATTTATACAATCAGACCATTTGTTCTATGTCGACAGCTACTGTCAAGCGATCGATCGGTAGACTGGTTCGTGGCCCCATTGTTTTTAACAATGTTTGTACTGTCATAGGGTCTAGCGTGCTTAGAGCGTGCTAGCGTCTACTTGTACTAGCTATTAAACAGGGAAAACTTGTTGATGGCAATGAGTATATATATAGCTCTTTGGATCTTGGTTGAGAGAAGCTGCCGCCGGGGATTATAGTAAAATCGATGGGAGGATGGGAAATTGGGATGGTGAGGGACGGGGAAAATAACTAGTCCGCAGGACTAATGGCTATGGGGCATTTACTAGTCCTTCTTATTTTTTCATTTTTTTTAATTTTTTTTTACTAGTCTTGGACTAACGGACTAGCGTTAGTGTCGAACCCTGTATATAGATTAGTTGAACTGCAAAGCGTACGCTGATTTAAGTTGTGTGTATATATATATATATATATATATATATACATATATATGATTCTTTTACTGATATAAGTACATATGCTGATATCTCTTCTTTTTTCTATGTTTTTTCTTGAATAAATGCTCTTTTGTTCACTCAGTGTTCTCTGCCCACTTTATGGGTCTGCACTGTAGTCTGTTGCTGTGAGCATTCTTGTTTCTCACATTGTTTTTAAACTATTCCTTTATATCACTTGGGTGTTTTTTTTGGTACACCAACGTTCTTTAGGTACTCGTGCATGCTATTTTTTTTCATGCACTTGTCGTTCACGTTCTCAAAGTGTTCCATTTATCACTGGAGCCTGTTCCTGTCTTGTGCGTGCTGTTGTGTTTACGTGTTCGCTGATTGACTTGCGTGTGTCTCCACCTGGCAGGAGAGTCAGACAGAGCTGGTGCTGCTCATCTTCCTGCGTCTTGTCGAGGACATCGTCGCGTTTCAGAATGTCGTCGGCAAGCGTCGCCGCGACCTCTACCAGGCGCTCACCTGCAGCATGGCAGAGATCTTTGCTTTCTTCCTCGGCGTGCTGATGACACAGACCGAGAAGTACCATGTACGTGTGCAATGTAGACACATTCATATTTATTTATTGATTTTTACTCATAGATTACTCGTAATATTGTATTAATATGTATAGTCCAGAATAAGTACCAAGTATATGCACGAAGCGTAGGATAGGGCCTGCACGGTTTTGCATATGTACTCTTAAAGCTGCTTTCCGTGGTAATCCACAATGTATCTATTCAAAGTAGTTTTCTATGCAAGTGTTTTGTGGATTAAAATATTATGATCGGATGGATCTAACACAAAAACATCCTTGTTTGAACATTACATTCCAGTGTTTACATCAGCAAAAGTGTTTCATGCTTCTATGCAGAGTAATATTGATGCAGTTGCTCTGTGTGACTCGACTTCTATGCATATAAATCTGTGAATTTAGGCGTGCAATATAGTATGTAATTAGGCAGAAATTCTTGCTGATATCTATTAATAAAAGTAAGTTTAAGTAAGAGGGTATGGTTTTTTGATTCTCAAATTGGGTGCGACCTTGCCCCGGCCACCGTTGGCTATTGCCCTGCTCATATATACTCTTGGATTTCTAATAATCTGATGAACTTCGACTTCTAACTTGAGGTACTTGACATGAATGTACTCGCTGTTGTAAACATTGTTTTTATTTATTTTTTGTTTTGTGTAATGCTTCGTTATGTAAACGCTTGTCAAACCTACTAAACAATGCGCCATAACGTGCGGTTCACGGGTGACGCCAACAACGTTTCTCTTCTACAGGCTCACAAGCTCGGCACAGAGCCGGACTCTGACCAGAGGGCGCTGGTGCACTGCCGTGTCGCCCAGGCGGCGCTCATGACGCTCGCCGGCTTTGTCGACTGGGTGCCGATGTCGCACATCTCTGCTGAGAACAACCAGCTGCTGCAGATGCTGTGCCTGTTGCTAGGCGACGACCACCTCCAACTGTGCGCAGCCGAGTGTCTGCTGCTGCTCGTCTCCCGCAAGGTGGGTGTGTGTTTTTTTCACTGTGAAAAAGACTGTCTTCAGTACATGCATTTGTATTAGATTTACATGCAATAAAGATTTAATAATAATAATAATAATAATCTCTGCGCAGGGAAAGGTGGAAGACAGGAAGCCGCTGCTGATCTTGTTCAGCGAGGATGCGATGAACACGGTTCTGTGCGCGGCTCGCTCTGCCGCGATGAAGGCACTTGACGAGCAAAACTACCTGTTTCTGAAGCGGCTCTGTCAAGTTCTCACCAGCATCGGCAGTCAGCTGTGTGCGCTGTGGGTAAGTGATCACTCACCTTGACACAAGTTGTCCTACTACCGTGAGTTGTATACGTATGGCATGGTAGTTCTGTCTGGTAGGTCTTCACTGTGGGTAAGTGATCACCCACCTTGACGATCTGCAGCCGGATATCCGCGCGAAGCGCGAACAGCGCCACCTGGTGGCGCCATTTCATCCAACTCGCTGCTCTGTATTTAGAACAATTTCACCGGTTATGTCAAATGGGCCTGTAATCGGTCAATTGAGGAGTTGTGGTGATTGCAGAAGCCTTTCGACTGTGCACGTAGGGCGAGAATAAATCCAATGGTCGTCATTGCTACTTTTTTTGGTTGGCGCGTTAGCTTTTCTTCTACAAAAGCGATTTAGAATTTATTTAATTCCACGCCCTGAACTTATTCTCGTACATATCGCTACCCATAGATGGCGCGACGAGGCTCTCTTCGAGGGATGTTCGAGAGCATTTCCCACAGAAAGACGGCAATAGGCTTAGACTGCCCCGCGGTGGAGAGTTTGTAACGCTCGAGTTACTATAACTTTAGTGTAGCGAGAGATACTTGGCCTAATTAACGTCCGTACCAGTCTATATGGAATCGTGACGTCCCAGTGTAATTCTCGCAGCCATCTTTGGACACGGCAGGCTGACTGATTTATGGTTGTTTACACTGAGAATTGTGCAGTAGACGTTATGTGGAAATGCACCAGCCGTATGTCTGTTATAACCCCACATGGTGTGATGTTTCGGATCATGACGTCATGCTACAACCATGTATATATCGCTGCACTCACGTAGTGTGAGCGTCTGGAACTGTCGACCGGGATCAGGTATCCCGTAATCTGTGTAACTCTCTTAATAGTCTTATTCATGTTGTTTGTGCACGCAGCACAGCTATGTTGTAGTACTACTACTCCTGCTACTACTAGTACTACTACTATACGTCTATAGTATTACTTAGATTTCGTGTTTGTTTAGCATTATATTTTATTGAAACGTTTCAAGTGCCTGTGCACAGCGCGGTCGTGCGTTCGGTGTACTGTGTGTGTGCAGATGAGCATTTGACCGGCATTTACAGGTGATTATAGGCGAAATAGAGTAGAGAAACATTAAGACTTTGGTACATTCCACACCTACGAATACTCTATTAGTATTAGTATTACTACAAGTACATGTTACAATAATTACTAGTAAGTACTACTACTACTATACTAGTACTAGTAGTAGTAGTACTACTAAGTTACCAGCACTACTAGTACTAGTAACTACCAGGACGGCAGGAGCTAATACTAATAGTATAATGACTAACTCTGTTACTAGTAGTAGTAGTAGTAACTTACTAATAGTAATAGTATTACTATTAGTAATAATGACGAACCTAGCCATAACCCTAACCTATTATATTGATATAATATTATATTTATATTGATGTAAATGACATTGGTTTATTGCCATGTCATACATTGGGCCCATATAATATTGGGACCCATGTTCTCTATCCTTGAACCACTAGTACTACTAGACTACTACGACTAGTACTACTACTACTACTAGTTACTATAGTATAGTACTACTACTACTACTAGCTCCAAGAAACGGTCTTTGCTAGGGTTAGAATACCCCTATACTAGACACAGGCACTTGAAGCGTTTCAATAAAATATAATGCTAACTAAATACGAAATCTATATTTACTACCAAATTCTTAATGGATTCAGTTCGGGTTCGGGTTACGGAGTAGGCGTAGGCAACTCCCTAGACTCGTTAGTGGAGTAGGCGAGGTACGGTTCGGCATATTAGATGGTACCAGGGTACGTTCAGGTATATCAGACCGTACCCAGGGTACGTTCCGGCAGTACCCCGGGGGACATAGACCCTCTCAGCATTGCTACGTGTTCTCGGATTAGCTTGCATGGTCACTCGATGGGTAATCGAGGTGGGAGCGAGTCCCAGTCTATGTAGCCTTTGTCCTTGCAGCCAATTCCATTACTGGGCAAGGTTCGCGAACGCGAGAATTTCGTACGTCTTTCTGTGATTTCGCGTCACACAGCTCGGTTACGAACAGAGACATTATGTTTTTATAACAAGTGAACACTGTTCACGTCCCAAATGTCTACCCTCTGTGTCCCCCACTAAAATTGCGGACTGTTCGCTGGCAGCTATGGATCCGTGCGCCGGCCAATTCATTCGGCGCACGGATCCATAGCTGCCAGCGCTGCATACTGTCGTACGACGTTCCCGCGGTCGCGTGCGCCTTGCCGCGGAACTGCGCGGAAGATCGCGCAGCACTTCGGATTAACACCTCCTTTCGGCAACGCTTCTCTAGTATCCCGTCTCATCTGGACACAAGTTGTGTCCTACTACAGTGAGTTGTATACGTATGGCATGGTAGTTCTGTCTGGTAGGTCTTCACTGTGGGTAAGTGATCACCCACCTTGACACAAGTTGTGTCCTACAACAGTGAGTTGTCTACGTATGGCACGGTCGTTCGACTGTGCATCAGGGTTCACAGAAAATTGTGTTTTGTTGGTACGTAGTGATGTACTCGTAATTACTCCTTACAGGGTTTTAGTGAAGATGTGCATCAGCCGCAGAATTTTGCTAAATATCTCGATGCGATATTGGAGTTCACCAACCATCCTAGTCAGGTATTACATGCAACTGCTATTCTCTGGGCAAATTTCTCAGCAGAGGTTCACTGGTCTCTGCTGTTAATATTTACAGTAGTAGGCTAAGGAAGTATCATCAGGCAGGGGCTAATCTAGCTTCTTAATATGAGCACCCGTGGCCAGCGTGGCGAGCCTACAAAAATTATATATATACTTATCTATCACATTAAATTGGGCGTTTGGGCGACATATTTTATTCAGATAATAGTTTATAGATCTTATATGAGCATTTTATTATGAAACAGTGCCTACATAATGATAGAAACATGGAGATCTGCATCAGTGCTCTGCTAATTTGGGCGTTTTATGAATTTGATAATTTGGGCATTTTTCTAGGGGTCGTAATTTGGGCGCCGGTATTCGGTATGAAAAATGGCCTGGATTAGGCCCTGTCAGGTTGGCTAAGGTTGGAAGGTGTGCAAGAGGTTTGCTGAGGATGTGAAAGCTTGTGTTTTTTTGTATTTTAATGATGCGATTTTTATGTTGTAACCAATGCTCCATTAACTGCTAAAAAATTAGATAAAATGGTAATATGAGGTTGTATTTCTTGTGGTGGAGGATTATTCAAATGTGATATGACTGGGAAAGTGCAAAATTATATGTAACGGCCCAATATTGGAGGAAATGTGTCTTACGAATGTCAGTACATGTGCAGATGCTAGCAACTTACAGAGTGGAGATCATTCATTGACCTTTGACCTTGATTGCACTTTCAGACATTGAGTGGCTACACACTGTCGTTGTGGAGTTCATTCTTCAGACACGAGTTCATCTCCAAGGATCCTGTGCTTCTCTCAGTACTCCCGAAAGTGGTTGAATCGGCCACCCACAATCTGATCCGGGTATGTAGGCCTACAGAGTGTGCCTCAATAATTTCAAAATTTCTTGCATGTTCATGCAAACATGTATTTTATTAACTTATATATTTTACACTAGTTACCTTTTCAATATTGTGTTGTATTGTGGAATGACTGAAATCCCGATTCGAAATCAACACAAAACTGAAAAAATGGCTGCTTGTTGAATTTGACATACTTTACTATGCTAAAATCATTTCAGTGTTGTTCATTCACAACACGATTGTTAGATAGCAGCTTTCTCTTCTTAAAGGTGTGTACTCTATCCTCACACTGGTGCTCTGGAACCTTCCCTTTAGCCATCAACATAATCAATTGATGTTTAGGGTTTACACTGTGTTTGTAGGGGCATTATGTGGAATGAACTAAATATACTGCAGTGTGTACCTGGTGTATGGCGTATTATATTTTAGTTTGCCATTACCAATTTATAGTTCAGAGATAAATATCGGGTTGAGTGTTTGTCTTATACAGGAATTCTGAATTCTTGTTACTGACAGTTATAGATTCGGCTTAGGGTATCTCAGGGGTAGAAATTGACTTTTGAACAAGGGAGTCCAACAGACTCCCTACCCTCAAAACGAGGAAGTCCGCAGCAGAATGAGGGAGTCCGCAGTCTGAGGTTCAAAATTGAAGATATTAACAATAATGCATGTGCTTATTTTTAAGATTCATGCAGTTGCATGTCTGCCAAATTTTCTTTGGACATTAGCTGAAAAAATACAGTAATTCCGCGAGGCCGTGCTCAGGAACTGAACTAGTTCGTATGGCAGAATTTTCAGGGAGTCACACGGACTCCTGCATATGTCAAATCAGGGAGTCCGACAGTAAATCAGGGAGTATTTGACTCCTGATTTGTGTGATGCTGGCTTGATGTATAGCTAGCATGGTTAAGGTCGTTAATTATTGTTGTGTGTGTCACAGGTTGGATTTCCATCTCAGAGTAACTCACCCGCCTGCAGCTACGCTAGTCTCGACTTTGACAGCGACGATGACTTTAACCAGTTCTTTGCAAGTAAGTGTGCCATGCTTCCAAACCTCACCTGCCTATTTACGTCCTTACTGTCATTTATAATGTAGTGAATAGACCATCTTTTAATAGAAAGCAAAAGTTGGTAGAACCTGAAGAGCCTACCATAAGTTAAAACGAGTCATACATTGCTAAAATGGCATATAGTTTAGTTGTCTGAGCCCTGAGACCCATTGTCAGAAACAAGATTCTTAACATTAACTTTTTCTGATAGACTGTTGACAGAAACATGTCGAGTTTCTCACATGCAGTGTATGGAGTTCCGGTCTACAAGAAAAAGCTAATATCAAGGCTAATGTTAAGACTAATGTCAAGACTAATTTTGTATCTGACAACAGGCCTCTGAAAGGTATCCCAATTGTGACTGTACCCTGTAATCCTTCTGTTTCAAATGTAACAATCAGTGATAATGTACTGGCATTGTTATCATTGATCTTGTTTCTTCCCCAGTGGTAAGACGAAGTAAATATTCTAAAAGAATAACACTAATGACTGGCAACGTTTTTTTACAAACAGTTATAATATAATTATTAATATAAATGATTATTATAATTAGTAATATAATAAACTGCCTTCTTCTTGAGCGATAAGTTAAAGTAATGGTCTTTTCAAGAATAATAACTGTCGCAAACATGTATGTGTTTGCTAGTTGAGATCACGCTGTGGCACGTCTGTGATAGATCCTCGTGTTAGGTGCACATCGATTCCCGTTCTGCAGGGTTCCGTGCCGAGGCGGCCGAGATGCTGCGCCTTGCGACACTGCTGCATCCGCAGGTGACCTTTGACCTAGCGGCGCGCTGGCTGGAGACGCAGCTGCAGAAGCCGATAGACATAGGCGAAGGTGCAGATTCGGATAACGGCGGTAAAACATGTATTACGTGGCGTAACTCTGGTTGCAGCCAGGTGGCGGTACTGCAGCTGGACGCTTGGGCGTTTCTCTTGCGCGCCCCGCAGCAGACGACGAATCTACGTGCAGGCGCCGGGCGATTGAAGCTCACGCCTGGTTGTCGTGGCAAATCCTCGACGATCGCTCGCGAGACCTTGCTCTCCCGGTCCGCAGTTCAGCATGCTGCGTGGGTACGAGAAGCAAACACCACTGCTCCACTATTAACAGATGACTCGGTCTGTGACAGACAGCATTGTGATACAGAATACCCGCCCTGCAGCAAAATGTGGTCAGCCCTGCACATATTACCCCACATGTGACAGATTATCTGGTCTATCCAATACCACATCAACGACAGACAATACCAGTTCGTGACAGATAGAGTACCACGTCCATGACAGACACAATACTGGCACCACGACAGATACAATACTTGTTCCGTGACAGACACAATACTAGCTCCACGACAGACACAATACTTGTTCCATGACAGACGCAATACTAGTTCCACGACAGACTCAATACTGGTTTCGTGGCAGACGCAATACTAGCTCCACGACAGACACAATACTGGTTCCGTGACAGACGCAATACTAGATCCACGACAGACACAATACTGGTTCTGTGACAGACGCAATACTAGCTCCACGACAGACACAATACTGGTTCCGTGACAGATAGAGTACCACGTCCATGACAGACACAATACTGGCACCACGACAGATACAATACAATACTGGTTTGGTGACAGACGCAATACTAGCTCCACGACAGACTCAATACTGGTTCGGTGAGTATTGTGTCTGTCATGGACGTGGTACTCTATCTGTGGCTCCACGACAGATACAATACTGGCTCCGTGACAGATAGAGTACCACGTCCATGACAGACACAATACTAGCTCCACGACAGACACAATACTGGTTCTGTGACAGACGCAATACTAGCTCCACGACAGATACAATACTGGTTCCATGACAGATAGAGTACCACGTCCATGACAGACACAATACTGGTTCCGTGACAGACGCAATACTGGCTCCACGACAGATACAATACTGGCTCCGTGACAGATAGAGTACCACGTCCATGACAGACACAATACTAGCTCCACGACAGATACAATACTGGTTCTGTGACAGACGCAATACTAGCTCCACGACAGATACAATACTGGTTCCGTGACAGATAGAGTACGAGGTCCACAACAGACAGACTACTGAACACAACCACACAACCCGACACACATGACCGACACAATACTTGAACCACGACATATAATGACTGACTCGATGACTGTGTAAATGTCTTCTGCAGACATGGTGGTGTAGGTTTTGAGCTACGTGGGCAGTGCGCGGATGCTGGGATCGGGATTAGCTTGCTGTGCGATGCGATCGTTTGTCACGCTCGTCGTCATCTCTCCGCTTCGTTTCCGTGCCCGCGCATTGAGCGGCCACAAACCTCACGTTTCTTCTGTGTGAAGTGCCTGATGCTGACACGTCACACTGACTCTAGGCTGTATGCTCGCAGCTTTATTTTTTTAATTGGTCGAAATGTCTCGGTGCTTGAAAGCTAGTAGGTGCTTGTCCTGCTCTTCACTCTGGCAGCAGGCTCACGCATACGTACGCAAGCTTGCAAACTGCACCGTAGTCTCTTACTATGCTCTGCTTGGGTTTAGTATCTGTAAGCAGTACACTGCTTCTAATATTATCTAGACAGTGTCTTGTTGTTCATGTGTGTGTGTGTTTAGCCTTTATTAGGTGCGTCAAGGATGTACCTGCGTCGATCCATTCGTTACACTCATCGATGTACGGAAGTAAATTATTTGTTAGAACGAAATGATGTAAATCGCTATATATGATGTCACATCGATGCAGAGGTCAATGCGAAGGTTACAGATATTTCAGTGGTCACCTGTCACTTGAAGGTCATGAGTCACTCGAAGGTCGCGTGTCACTCAATGATCGCAGATAACTCACAGGTGGGGAGTCACCCAAAGGTCATGCGTCACTCGGAGGTCGCACGTCACTGGAAGGTCGCGCGTCACGTGAAGGTCATGAGTCACTCAAAGGTCGCGGTTAACTCGAACTCGCGTCGGGGGTGTCGTAGCCCGCTTGGGCGAGTGCTGATTGGGTCATGCTCGCGTGGCCATTCCCGCAGGATCGGAATCCGGCATGTGTTCGTACAGCTCGCCGACGTTCCTGGAGTGGGACGCGCTGACCGTGTTCCTGGAGAGCGTGATGAGTCGCATCCTGTCGTCGGACAAGGAGAAGCCTGCTGCCGAGCGCGGCATCCTGCTGCTGAAGAGTGTGCTGCTATACGATACACAGGTGAGGCTCTACGATACACAGGTGAGGCTATACGATACACAGGTGAGGCTCTACGATACACAGGTGAGGGTCTACGATACGCACACACACACACGTATGCTGGCACTCATTAATGCATACACGCATGCATCTGCACGCACGCACACATGCTCACATACATAAAACATAGTCATGATGTGTCTATGACCACATCCAGGACACAAGTTTTTAACGTTTCTACATATCACTTATTTGATTCAACAAAATGAAAAATATTTAAGTATAGTATAGAAACCATGACTTTACACTTAATCAGCAGCAGAGTGGATACTGCTTGCAGAGTTACTGTAACAAACACTTGTTCTGCATTACCAGCAGCAAAGTTGGGGATACTGCTTGCCAGGAGTTACTGTAACAAACTACTTGTTCTGCATTACCACTGCAGCAAAGTGGGTTACTTGCTTGCCGCAGAGTTACTGTAACAAAACTACTTGTTCTGCATTACAGCCAGCAGAGTTGGATAGCTGCTTGCAGATCTTTACAGGGCAGGAAGGCAGGCGTGACGACGCAAGCACGTTCTTCACGAACGGACTCCGCGTAGCTTTCGTCTGCCCGGGTTAG